TCCTGATGCCCTTTTTCCAGATACACTTTCGACACGGCTGGAAATAAATTATCATGAAGAAAGTTGAATCCCCAGTCGAGACCAACGAACGGAAGGGTCGTTTTTACGTGTGGCTGCAAAGGTGTTCTATTTAGAAAGTGAAAACCATCCAGGTGATCGAAAATCGTTTCTCTGTTTCATTGACTGGTAAATTACAGAAGAAATCATTGCAAATTTACACTAGCCAGATATTTTTGTTTCGGGATTTTTATCAAGTAAATGAAAACGTGGGTTTAGAAAAAACATCCACCGGCAAGTGAGTTATGCGGAGTAGTATCGGTATGGGTGCAGTGGGTGTAGGAGGTATGCAGAGTTACGAACAGCAAAAATTTGTTAAAGGAATCGTATCGAATACGAGAATATCTAGAGGTATACTAACGCACATACAAAAGACAACCTTTTACGCACCCCAAAACAAGTACAAATACATTATTTATTTATGTAAAGACCGTCAAATCTTCCGCCCTCCTGTAATTTTACGGTTCCGGTAGGAGTCTAACTCAAAACATGTATTTTTTATACTTTATCATATTTTTATAGTATAATTGTTAGATCATTATAAAGCTTATTCCCCGATTTTCTCCCGTTGAAATCATTACAAAATGGTGGCAGAAGATTCGTGAATCATTTTTTTTCAAAATTTTTTATATGAAAGAAAAATACTGCTGCTCAGCCTTCAGTACATTTCATTTCCCGTGCAAACTAATTTTTAGTTTAAAAAACGTACAACTCGAATTACGATGTCTTTTCTAGGATATCATTAACATAAATGATTATTTGGAGATCGTGAGATGCGGTCTGGTGTGACGTAGGTTTTAGAAAAACATTTTCTTTATCGTGCCAACGTTTCGATGTTTATTGAGATCATTTTCGGGGCTCAAAGTGTTTGTTTTCTGTGTAAATGTGACATGTTGAGAGTGCCAGTGAGATATGATCAATGTCTCACTGGCACTCTCAACACGACACACACTTTGAGCCCTGAAGATGATCTCAATAAATATCGTAACGTTGGGATCTCACGATCTCCACATAATCATTAACTAACGGTCACTAAATACCAAACATTAACATAAATGTCCTTTTACTTTCTTATCTCTTATAACGTGATCTGCAAAGTGGTGAATTTAATGTAATTTGCATCGAGATTTATCTCAAAATGCTGGACATGAGAATTTCTCTAGCTGTAACATAAAAATATTGAAGATTTTCCTTTAGAAAATAAAATTTTTGGTAGGTGTTAATATTTTTCAGTCAAACATTTTTTATCTTTTATGCGTCTAACATCGAAAGATTCTCAAGCCGAATACTATTAACGGATTGAATCACTATCATTTAATTTAATTTATTAACTGAATAAACAAATGCGTACGTTATTTAGGCAAATTTTAGTACAGTCATCTTGGCCTCTGTCCGACACAACCACTTCCATGCTGTATTTAAAGTTGTTTTTTCTTCCCCAAGAATCCCTGCTGGATAGTACTCGGATTAGAGAATCACTGCTGTATTTCACTGAATCAAGTGCAAATCAAATCCTATGTTTAAGGGAGAAAAGAAGGATGAGTCGTCATTTGCCAAGTGTCAGATTAGTCAGTTTGTTGACATTTTCGTAACGTATTAGTAGGATTATCGTCAGTGCACTTTGTCGGCTTGTTAAGCGGGAGACGGTTCAAAGTTCGTTGGACGGCCCAGCAGTACAAAACCTGCAGTAGAAACTGTGCCGGCGAGCAGCATGGGTATATCTTGCATGCAAGATGGCAAACCGCAGCGATACGAGACGAGATTCTTGCAAAAGATGTATACCTACGTCCGGTTGAGCCTGCTCTGGGAATCTGAGGCCCGCCTCGGTTTAAAGCCGCCCAAAAAGAAAAGGGTCGAAACCGCCAAGGAGGAAGTCGTCCCACAGATCGCCTGGGAGGTCCTTCCTCCTCCCTCTAGGCCCGTCTCCCCGATCTCGCTGGTAACGTTTTCACCCTCATTAAGTTATTTGGGATAGAATGGGGGTGAGAGAGAGAGACTGATCGACAGAGAGACATACAGACAGAGTATTGAATTGAACATTTTATTTATAAAAGCTCGCAAAATTAGGTCTCAGTCACCTTTCTTACATTTAACGTACATATATAAATAAAGTTTCTATAATCCAAAATACGTAAAAAAACAAATAATTATTTTTTACTATACAAATATATTGATGTTGTACAGAGTTAACATAATCTAATGAGAGAAAAGCTTTTTGATGTTCCTTATAAATATTTTTAAATTTGTATGACTTTACAATATTGGGTAAATTGTAAAGTTTTATAGATTTAGGAAAGAATGAATTATAAAAACAGTGTGTATGACACAACAGCATTTTCAATGCAGTTTGAGAACGTGTAAGTCTTTTTTTACTTTAAATTGAGAAACAATATCAAATGTATATGTAGGTTTATTATTTTTGTATTGTTATTATGCCATGGAAAATAGTCAAAATTTTGAATTTTTAAAATGTTTAAATAGTATTTGTCATAAATTCTGGAATCATAGTGTAGATTATAGATAAAGCGAATACACATATTTATAGTAGTAACATATAACTTATGATGATTTTTACTAGAAATATTAGAAATTACTGTAAGACCATAAGTTATATTTGGAAGCATCAGTGCATTAAAAATCTTTAGCTTTCGTAGAATAATAAATATTAAGAATTATTATTAACATTAAATAGGTTTTTTTAATCTATTACCAAGCCTGGAATTTTTTTATTTCGTTGTCCACAATTAATTGTCTATCATCAATTTTGATTTCTACATTTTTGAGAGAGAAAGAGAGAGAGAGAGAGAGAGAGAGAGAGAGAGAGAGAGAGTGAGAGAGAGAGAGAGTGATAGAGAGAAAGAGAGAATTATTATAATGTAATATAGTTCTGACAATAATATTTGCGACAATCCCAAATAATATTTATTTATTCAAATCCGCATAACTTAAACGGGGAATAGGCAAAAGTATATGAGGACGATAGAACTGATATAAATTATTGGTTTTCAGTTTAATTGCAAATTAGTGTTGATTAAGGGTTTTGTCGTCTTATTTGTTAAGACGGTCGTTAAACATAATACCGTCATCTTTTTACAAACGTCGGCGAAATATGAGATTTTTTTGATTAGAAATATGTCTAAAAAATAATTATTAACAAATATAATGATGATGGATATCAAGTGATTGAAAATAGTTTTATAAACATTTGCAAGACCTTGACAGTCGTTCGAGCATGTCGTAACACGTATGATGTAAGACTACATTTTTACGAACAGATTAGTTTGATGATTATATCTACAGGATACCATTTAATAAATAATATCTTAAAGTTAAAATACCATAGGACGATGATAATATTTGTCATATAATTATTAGTGGCAGAATCGATGACAGTTTCAGATATGTTGGATTAATCTACAGTCTATCAACAACGTTAAAAGTGTTATTACTAGCTTTTTTATTGATTAATTAGCTAAATTGCCCTTTTATTTATTCAATTTATTTGAAATAGGAAGTCTTTATTCATAATTTTTGTAGCGTTTTGTTTTCATTTTTGACTGATTAAACCAAAATGGACGTGGCCTTCATCATTTTGATGATACTAGGAAGCGGGGTTTGTACTCCCTAGGCAATGCAATCTTCAGGCTTATTGTACCTTTTCATCATTTTAAATTATCCCTCTCTTCTTCATAAAGTTAGTGTACCATCAATAAAGTCTCTCTCGCCTTAAACTCAATGACTAAACCGTACTTTCGAGCCCTTTTTAAATATTAGCATCGGGCAGCTTAAAACAGTACGAAGAGTAAATTTTTGAGTTAAGCCGGGGAAGACGTCACAAGCTATTCACAAATTTCTTCGCGATGTGTCCAAAAAATTGTATCAACAAACGATCCTTCCGAACGTACAAATGTTCCTCATCATAGGAATCATCTTGGCCTCTTCTTTAATAATCTACATTCTTTTTTATTATAATAATCAGGTAAAGCATGTTAACAAAGGATAAATCATGTTGTTTCTAAATAGCCTATTATACACAGTAAATGAGGTTTTTTATGATTTTTCGGGGTCGCTTTTAAGGACCCAGAGCGTGTTTTCAATCAAGTATTTTTACTAGGTCGCTGAAGTTTACTCAATTATCTTTCCGATCGAGCTCCTTTGAAAAAGCGATTTTAAGACGATATCATGTTCTTTAAAAGTAGAAACAACTACTAACAAAAACTTATTGTAGAAAAAAGAGGTTTATGAAAATATCTGAAATGACAATGGAACGACTTGACGCTGTTTTTATCGACAAGTCAGTGTATCCTAGTTTTATTTGATTCCGGTTAGTACATCGGCCTGTCAAATTTCTCCTGCTGCAATATTTTTCCAAAATGCACATATTTCAGTTATTCAAACAGCTGTGACAATATTTTTTGTGTGGCGAATTTCTTTTATGGCTTTTACTTCACAAACTAAAAGGAATACACAAATATTTTAAGTCTAGTGTGTTCAGCAACAATTTTATTAGGCTTTTATATTATTGCACAATGCACTTTGTATTACATTATTCTATCTGATTTGCTATTTATTCATCTTCATGTAATTCATGTAATTTTTAAAAATATTTTCTTCCCCTGTGAAAGTGTTCAGCAAAACGATAATTACAATTTCTTAAGAGAAAATTTAGACAAAAGACCTGAAAGGTCAATAATGATCTACCAGCAGCAGTTCTCAAGTTTGGATGTAGTTTTTTTTTTTTTGTCGGGGGGGGGGGGGGGGTTGACCACATCCCAGATCTACATCCAAACTAAAAAGCCAACTAACAAGTTTATTATGTAGAGTTTCAATGTTATAATATTATGACAATTAAACATTTTTTAATTATGACCTCCACGCGCAGTGCATCACTTACAAAAGTTTATACTGATTTAATAACTTTAATTTAATTTTTTGTTTTACAGCCTCCCGAAAACGAGCTGCAGAAGGTGGGCGAGAGGGTGATGTCAGAACACGAATTGCGGGTGCAGAGGTCTTTGCAGAAACTGAACATCCCTGATTGGTATAAGAATAGCCAAGTGCCGAGCCAAGGCTTCCTCCTAAAAAGGCATAGTGAGGGTGGAGGTGGTGCAGGATGGCAGGGTCTTTCTTCAAAGACTACATCCCTTTCGAGCCTTGGATCGATGCAGGCTGCAACACCGAGAAGTCCAACCGGTAAAGCTTATTTTTAACAACTTCTCATCACATGGTATTCTTATTTGCTTGATTTTTAATTTTTGTTTTGCAATAAGGTAACCTTCTTAGCCCCAGTCCCACTCCAAGCACTCATACGTTTTCTCGATGGAGTACAAACAGGCTGAACTCAAATCCGACTTCAGCAAGCACATCACCGTGCGGCTCTGCGAGGTCTTCTTTCAACTACCGCCAGCCATACCTTGGCTGGAGATCCCAGGAAAGGCTAACCAATCCGAGGACGCCTGCAGAAAGGCTTGCAGCAGGAATCTTGTCCCAACAAAAACAAGTAAGTGGTAATTTTAATGCTGTCTTGATTATTTTTGTCTCAAATGAGCATTATAAAATAATGAATTTATGAAAAGTTTTCAAATTAGAACTAATTCACTTTCCTTCTATCATGTGTTAGCAACAGAATGTGCCAAATTTAAGTGAAGTTCACACTTCCATAAAAGAGGTCACATCAGCTATTAACAACTATATTCATGGGAATAGAGTCGATGATAGGCTTTCACCAGCCATGCACCGAACAGACAATGTATCATCCAGGTAAAAATTACACATTTTTCTTTTATTTGTTGTATGTTCTATATGTTTAAAAACACAAGCTTTTTAACAAAAAAAGATCTGCATCACCAAGAGGGAGTACTGGCAGGTTATGCTGGCTAGAGAGTTCATTTGTTGGTAACAAACCGATCGACGTCCCTGAGACGCCTGTCTCTCTTACTGCAACCCCTGATCACACCTCAGGTGGCAGTGACCTCTTCCTCGACCTTTCGACACATAGGCACAAGATGACTGCTGTAAACGGTGAGTACATTAAAACTATATCTCTGATTCACAATATTTGCTGCCTGCATTCACTCATTGCATCGATGCCAAATTTCACAAATAGATTTGCTGAGACAGTGTTGACCACTTAGTGTTATTATAGAACTTAAATATATTATTTCGATAGTTAAATAAAGTCTTAGGTGGCATATCCATTTTTTTAAGTTTTTTATTTAAAATTTCATTTTTTCAGATCTCTTATAGCCAGTGTTTTAAGTTCTTGGACCATTTATTTATTTTGGATTTTTTCTATACTGAAAAGAAAAATGATCTTCAGCTGCTGATATTTGTAAATATGTGGAAAAAAATCGATTCAGACAAATAATTTATTTTTATTGAGATTACCAATTTAGATGTTATTTCTAGCATTGCCTGTTCATTATATTTTCAAGAAGAATATAAACAAAACATGGCAGTGATTCTAGACGGATTGTTTGTTAAATTTGGATAAACATTTATTTGATGGCTATTTCAAAATCATTAGCTTTTCAGGAACATTACGTCAAAAATGTTCCTTTGCCCCCCCCCCACCAAAGCAGATGCCTATGGGTCAAGTTTAAAGTTCTAGCCAAACTTGTCTTCTTCTTTTTTTCTTTCTTTTTTGTATATATGTGTAATAAATTATACAATACCATTAAAATTATTTCATTATGTTTTTCTTTCATTTTAATTTGTATTCTTTTGACAAAAAAAACATTTGTTTTGTTATTTATCTTTGACTTTTGTCTTAAAACTTTTCATTATTTTATTTTGACTTATGTTGTAGTATTTCTTTGTTTAAATGGTAAATTATATTTGTAAATTTAATTTGTATTAAATAATAATTATTTAAAAACATTGTTTTTCTGTTTTGGGTATTTTTTTGTTGGCATTTTTTTTAAATATCAAAAAAGAGTGAAAAACTTATATTAAGCAAATAATTATTTAATATTAAACATAATATAAAACAAAAAAAGGTACTATATTAAAATAAAAAAATTTTGACAGAAAAGTAAGTGTTCAATTTAAAAAAATGGCGATTTATACAATACATATCCAAATTTCGGAAAAACAAATTCTGTTTAAAGAAAAATAAATTTAAAGCACATGTACCTATTATTAATGTCAATAATAAAAGATATATTTTATAATTATTTTATATTATTTTGTCATGGCAGCATTTATCCCTTGAAATTATCCATCCTTATTATTTTCATTGTCCACACATAATTTTTAAAACATTTATAGATAGTTTTTTGCCATTACTCAAAATTCCTAAATTAATTATTAATCTGTTGTTTCCCAGCCTATTGTCCAAACTGAATTATTATCAATTGATCTTTTTGAAGCACACTAGTTTTTAAATTCAATCAACCTTCTAGAACACAGCAGGCATGACACCGTTCTTTTTATGTTGTCTTATAAACCCGTTGTTGGTTGTCATGACACTTATGTTGCAAGTGTGTTCAGATATTTGGCAAAATACATTTTTTTGTTATGTTTTTCCTTTTTGCCCTTGAGCATGATTAGATAGTTCTTAATTGTCTGTATATGCACAAAACTTCGTTGTAATTGTTAGTTGCAGGGTCAGGTAGTGAATATTGGCTTTTAACACAAAGGTGCACCTTTATTTTTCTTTGTGTATAATATTGTTTCAAGATTAGTAGTCTTAATGTACTGTTTAATTAAATCAATAAAAAAGCACTTTTTGCTTTTATTCAAACAATTTATAAAAACAAGTAAAATAAGCAACTTTTACATTTAACTATTAGGGCCATTAAAATATTCTCCCAATTTTGAAATAAATTTGTAAACCAGGAAATAAATTTCAGCTTATGGCTAAATAGCATGCTAACTAATAATTAAAATGCTCGACATTGTATAAAACAAAAATTTTAAACCTACAGTCAATTGATTAGATTTTCATTTTGTGATTGACAACATAGCATAAGTTAACTAGTTTTCATGGTCCGCTTGACCAATGAAGCTACTCGTATCATATGTGCAAGAAATCTTAACCACAACCAACATTATTCCTGACCTAATATCTTTCAATTATTCAACTCAACTAAAAACCTTAATTAATTAGAAATAAGCTTAATCCTGATGTATAACTGTGAGTTGCCGAGAATGAATCCTGATTACACAATATTTGAAAATATAGGAGGGTTTGAAACCCACTCATAACACTAGCTTTTTCATCTCGGCCAAGACCTTAAATAAAAAGTACAATTAATTTAAATAATTAATACGGTCAATTTTGACTATGCAATAAATATATGGATTAATAAAATTGCTAGTAATATTGTGTACCAAATGGTTAGTTACATGTTAATTTATCTAGATTTTTGTGTTTTGATTAATTTCCTCCAACCATCATTATTAAATAACGTGTTTAGTAATTAACATAACAGTAAAATGCAAGATGGTTTGAAAATAAACATCATTGACATTCTAGATATTGTAAATTGAACTTGAGTCTGCTATCAGTTCTCTGGAAAGTACTTGGAGAAGCTACTCGTATCATATGTGCAAGAAATCTTAACCACAACCAACATTATTCCTGACCACCAATTTTGCTTCTGTAATTACCACTCTACAATAAACCAAATTCAATAAGTTGTAGACATCATCACAATATCCTGTGCTGGTCTACTGGTCAGTAGTACTAAACTCAAATTTTTCTTTTCTAGTCTATACTTTCTCATAGTGTTGTTAAGTTACAATTCCACGCACTTCTAAAACAACTTACTTTTATTGTTTTGAATTTACATTATTATTATATTATTTTTATTTATAGTTTGAATTTTAATAATGCTGATGGAATCTCCACTATCAAGATAGTGTTTTGCAATAAAATTCCAAGCGCCTCTGAAGGAGAAAATAAAAGACACTGGACAGATTGTACATAAATGGCCAACTGAGGAAAACGAGAGAAAAGAACTTGTGATTCTCTCTAGATTGCGAATAGGTCACATCAGGCTAATCCATAATAGGTTTTTAATAGGCAACAACCTTCCAATTTGTCCTCGGTGTATGCGAAGTGGAGAATGTATCATTCTGACAATAAAACATATTTTGGTCGACTGTCCCACTTTGCAACCCTTTAGGCAAAGGCTCATCCTTTCGAGTGATTTACAGGAGTTACTGTGTCCCCAGTGTTTCTTTTGAAGAGCACTTTTCAGCTTTCTCAAATTTATTGGAATTTATAATGAGATTTAGGCCTTTTCCCAAATTGTTATACCATTGAATAATTTGCCTGCTAATGTTTGAATGAGAGTTGTGCGTGCAAGTTTTCATTTTTTTCAGAAATTTTTGAGGCTGCCGGAGCGGAAAAATAAAACGGAAGAAAATACAAATTGCAGGGTAATAAACTGCAATGCCCAAAATCGCAATTTAAATAAGAAAGATAGCTCCCTCAAAAAAATAAATAAATAAAATAAAATAAAAATAAAAAGTGTTATTGTGTTTTGTTTCTTATTATTGTTATGTAGAATTAGTTTATTTATCATATTTGAATGGATAAGGATGAGCCTATCTACACTCATGCTGAGACTGTTGCTAGTCAGACTCCATTATTATTATTATTATTATTATTATTAGCCATACAAGCCTATGGGAAATGTTTAAATTATGGAACAAAAGTTCAAAATTCTAATTTAAAAAATAAATAAATAAATTTTATATGTAATTTTAAATATTTAAGATGGGATTTTTGCATACATTTGGCCTTCCAAATGAAGGATTTTAAAAGGATAAATTAAAGCATGGATGGCAATAGGATAAATTAGTTTACGAGTGAATGTTTGGAGTCGGAGCTTTATAGCACTCAGAAGGGATATAGCTAAACTAAGATAGAAGGTTTGGGACGTTAGGGCGTGAAATGACCTTAGCCGTTAAAACATCCTTAAAAAGTAATAATAATAACAACTTATTTTTAGACTCCAACACTCCTTTCCTGTTATTACTGAATGCTATCTAAAAAAAATGTATAAATAAAAATTCATATTATACTGTTGTTAAAGCAATCTTGGTTTTACTCTGATTTTAAGATAGAAAATAAATAACCGCCGATTGTCTTATAGTCATCTTTTAACTTAAGAGATTTTTTTTAATATGGTTTAATGGAACAAAACAAAAATCTATAATATAAGCTAGCGGTTCCCAAACTTTTTCTGTTTTCAGATATATCTAAACCTCTTATTTTATCTGTAATTTTATTTAATTAAAATCAAAACTCCTGACTTTCTTGTGCAATTGAAATATATTTGCCTGTTGAAAAACGATTACTTTTTAAAAATATAAAAGCTAATACTTTTTTGGGCAATAATATAAAATACACAGTAGCAGCTGTCTTGTTAGCATCCATATTGAGATTGGATGGCCACCAGGGTCTTAGTTTTTAGGGTTTTATAAAGGGGGGTTTAGTTTGTAGGTTTTTTTTATGAATATAAAAATAATAAAACAATTTTTTATAGAAAATTTTGTAGCACAGTTTGGGAATCACTGGTCTATGCCGATAAACTTCAATAAAAGAATCTGGTGTTCTTTTTATTTGATATTGCAATACAGATTTTGAGATTTACAAAACCTGTATCTCAATTTTCCTTTAATATGGAGACATGGTTGAATACATCCATGAGGAGAAAATTGGTGCTCCTAGTGTGTTTTGGCTAGACCATGTTGGCAGGTTAACGATGGCTTGTAGAGGGAAATTAATCAGAGAGCATCTGAAACTTTGTTTTGGAGCGCTGGCCTTGGCTTTTATTATTCAACTTTTTCACAAAAATAACTAAAACACATAATTTTAAATTAAGTTCTACAAGCTGTATGAAAATTGAAGGTGAGTCCTAATTATTGATTAATTTTTATTTTATCTGTCCTAAATTGTGACATTTTTTTCTAATTACTTTTGCTTCTTTAAGCGACACAATTTTCAAACACTTTATTTACATGATCTGTCAGTAGTCTTTTTATTTATCATTTTATTCATTGATCATCTATATAAGCCGTTTTAAAATACTTTCAGTAAGTTTGTTCATTTAATTTTTCACCAATTTAACTTTTTTGGTTGGATTGACTTAATCTACAGCACATGATAAATTTTTGCATTCACTTACTTCAATGGCTATTGATGCAATGATACAAATAAATGTGTGAGATTTACCATTAACTATGACATATTTGTACTGTTGGGCCTTTTGATCTATCTAACTGAGCCTTGATAAACTGAACTTTAAAAAAAAATTATTTGCCAAGTAGTATCAGCAATTTAATTAGTATTGTTCAAAATTTTACTTTTTATCTATATATTTTCTGCTTTAAAGATACCAATATTTCAAAAAATCATTCATCACATTGCAAACTAAATGGTAACATTCTCCTTCTATTCACAAATAGAACATACACAACTCAACCACACTGCAGACCAAACTACAAATGAGGGAAACTTAATGACTCCATTGTCCTGAAATATATCTTGTTACTGTAAGTAAATCATTGTGATTGCTTCTAAACATTTAAGAAAAATGGAGATGCATGATTCAAAAGCTTTGTCTTCTGTTTGTAATTTTTTTCCTTTTGACCATGTCTGCAGGAGTTAAGCTTGTGCATGGGGACATCATTTCAGTTTTGTTTCAAGGCAATTCTGGCTTCCATTGCACAAATTATTTGCTTCCATTGAATGGAGTGTGGAAAGTTGAGAAAGTATTTTTGTTTAAGTCAAAGAAAATTTTTGGTTAATGTGCAGAATCATGAATAATAATTAGTTAAGAAAGCTGTGCTTTTCTGAATGGTTCTGTTTTTTTACAAGCAGACTTTTAAATGTTGTTTCTCATTTGTAGGCCTATTTTCAACACTAGAAAAGTGAAGTTGCAATTGCACCAAATTTTAGAATATAAGGTTTAAATCTATTTAACTAATAACTGATTGGAAAAAAACTTTTAAGTGTAAAGAAAATATTTTATTAGATTAATTAACTAAAAATTATTCCGCAGTTTACATTATGCATTGTGGTTATTTACATACACCATTTATTTTTATTTTTTTAATTTTTTTTTGTGAGCAATCACAAATATAAATAAAATGCAAGTTGATAAATATCGAATCAATTTTATAAAATTGAATTTCTAGAAAAGTAGTAGTATTTTACACAAAATATTGACTGTAAATATAATGCAAAACAAGTTGATAGTAGTTGTAAATAAATAAGAAATAACATAAAACAACATGAATCACATTACTATAAATCTTGGAGGCACAAGGGTGACAATTTTTGTTCAAGGTAATTGATAAATAATCTTCTACATTAATTAATAACAGCCTTCAATATAATTTTATATTAAAAATCAGTGCTAAGGCAAATTTGAAAAACACTGTTCCTTAGTCCAGTTCATAAGGAAATATCCTTTCAATACTTTAAAACTATTCTTAATAACTATACTAATTACCAATCATTAATTATGTCTCCAAGATTTGTTATTACATTATGTAGAGGAGATTGTTTGTTTTGATTATTCAATTGTCTTCCCCATTGGACAATTGAACAACTGAACAATCTCAGTCATCATAGGTTAAAAAAACCACCTTATTGGAAGCATTTGATGTCATGTTAGATTAATTAAAATAAAGTTGTTTTATTAATATTAAAAATACTTTAATTAGTAAAGTGAATATATTGACATATACTGTAAACTATGTACTAACACACACACACACACACACACACACACACAATCAATCAATCTTTAGCTTTGTTAAATTTAAATAATTCCAAATGACAAGGTAAAATAAGTAATTGGTGTAATAAGTAACAACAAAGAGCAAGACAGCCATTTTAATAGTATAAACTAAATTTATTAGGGGCGTCGGTGGCTGCAACGGTTTAGGAATTGACATGGTGCTCATCACTGAAAGGTCCCAGGTTCAAAGCTAGCGGCCCTGCATTTGGACCTGACATACTTATTAAATGGGATTTTCTTCCAAACCCCGGCACCCTGAGGGTTCATATAACCTCGTAGTTGAAATACTCTCATTAAAAAAAAAATTATTTATTTATTTTATTTGAACTGTTTTTCAACAGAGAATTTGAGAATCTTGTTTATTTTATTAGACAAATGAAGCAAACCACCAGTGCAATAGTAAATAACATGTTTTCAATGGTATGCATGTTTAAAGTCAGTATTTAGAAGAAGCTGGTAGAAATTCACAATAGTCAAAGACTTGTTAAGATATTTTACACTTGATCACTACCCATTTGTATGTATTATTTTGTGATATTTGAAAACTGGCCTATAAATAGCAAAGAGTTTTAAAAGTAAACCATTGTAATTTATTATTGGATAAAACAGATAACAGTATGGACGATCTCTGGTTTAAGTTATATATACACATATATATAGAAAAAAATCTTCCAAGGTATGGTATGCTACTTACAGAGAAAATTACAGGGATGGAGTACCAGATTCCGGGAGTGTCGATCTCCAGCGTGGCTGAGGCCAAGCTGAGAAACAAGCCAAGTCCAGGGTCAACAACAATGGAAGATGTTTTGGATTCATTGCTAGGCCTTGCTCCAGCATCACGGAGCCCTAGCCCGAGTGTGGCACACAGGTCTTGTAGTGACCTCACCAACCACCTCGCAGGTAGGAGGACAGTGTAAGTCATGACAGGTAACAAAAAATACATCCCGCTTCAGCACCAATCAGCATTAACTGCATGGGTGCACCCTCTGCTCAACTAAGGTGCTAGTGCAGCCTTCGATGCAGCTAAAAATTACTGCAAAGAGCAATTTCTTTATCATAGAATTTTCAGTATGTTTGATTGATTGCTTACCAAAGCGGGATTGTTTACAGTGATCCTTCTATACATTTTACTAACAAGCAGATGACAGTATTCTAACATCTTTGGTTACATAACCACATATTAACCATTAGATGAAAGTTGCCTGGTTTCACTGTACTTGTTTTGTCTATTAATTTTTAGGAATTAGAAAGAGTATTAGACATTTTAAATTAAAAATAACTTTCTAATTTCTAACTGAAACAATAAATGTGTCGAAGTATTTTGATTTCCCCTTTCAATTAGAATGCTGAATGAGATTGAAAAGATAATCAATTATAACTCTTAGCTTTGACTTTTAAAAAACTTTTTATAAACACAAATTAACTTTTCACACCCTGGCACATATTTCAAATCCTTTCACTTTCCATCCTAAATTATGTTACATACATATACTTACCACCTGGCAACTTTCATAATAATCTATACTGCTAGTGGTATTTCCAGTTAAACAGTGTTGCACATACGATGTCAATTAAAAATAATATAACTTTTTTATTCTTATTAAATATATTTATGACATGATCTACAAGAATGTGTATATGTATGTACATATACAATTTAAATATATGTATATATTTCAAGTAATGTAATTGACTTTTGAATTAGAATAATTGTAAATTAATGTTACTGTTCGGTAAAGAAATAACATCCTGTAAGTAAGTAAGTTCGTATTATGCATATTGTTGATTATTGTATAAAAGTTGGCATTGTTAATTGCATGGGAGATCAAAGTATATGTACAATTAGAATGCTTCATTTTTTTACAAAGTAATTATCAGATTATTGTTGATTCATCCTTTTGAGAGCACGTTCATTAATTATGCATGTTAATTATAAATGGACTTTAGTATCCAAAGATTACTAGGATAAAATAAAATATAATAATAATATGTGTATAATGAATATTATTCACAATACACAATAATTTTACTTATACTTATATATAATTATTTATACTTTTTTTCAATACTGCTGAAGAACTACAAGATCATAAAATCATAATATATTGACAGATTGTGTCTTGTGCCCAAAATTTTCTTTAGACGTTACGTATATTTTCTATTAAAATGTCAATCTTACATTCTGTCTGAACATGCAGAAAAAATTTAACAAATCTATCAAACAATTCATTACTTACTTGTTAATTGAATTGTTCTGATGTAAAAAATAAGTATACATACAATTGTGGAAATGGGGTAATGGGGTCAGACTTTTTGATAATATTTTGTACATTCAAGATATTTTTAGATTTTTCAAAATTTGTTGAAGTAGTGAGGAACGGTCAGGAATGAAGTATTTTAAATAAATGCCTTTTATTTATTTATTTTTTTTCTTTTTGCTGACATTTCAACTTTTATTCAGGTCAGGTTCCAGGCCTGGGTCTATAATAAAACATATTATGTTGATTGGAAAAAATTATTATACAATACAGATGTAAATAATATAAATTTTGAACCAAGTGCATATTTCATACTTGCATAAACTGTAAAGACCTTTGATTGTGACAAAGCGGGGAACACGGTAAATCTGGGAAATTTTCTCATATTTTTTCTTCATTTTCTTCTCATTTTCTACAACATTCCCCACTGTCACAATCATATAAAAATAGAATACAAATTTTACATAACATTATTATTTGATCGATCAATTTCTTACATAAAAATTATGTTTTTTTTAGCATGGTTGATAAGAACGAGAATAAGCAATTGAGAAGAAGATAAAGAATATTGTTATTAACCTGTATAAGTTTAGCGGTCTTGATTGAGCTATTTAATTATTTCAATTAGTTATACTTTCTATCTAAAGTCTTAAAAGTATAATTAATTGAAATTGTTACTAACCTTACATAAGCAATGATTCAACAATACAATAATTAAATACAAACAAACTTACTAGGGTGACTTGCAACAACCTAAATCCTTCCAAATAACTAATAACTATTAAAAAAGTGAGTTCACTAGTCTGTGAAATTCATGTTCAAAATTTTGATTATTTTAATTCAAAGTTCCCAAACCAAATGAGAAAATTTTGGGCAACATGAAGGCATATACATACTTACATATTTAAATAAAAATCTCTTTGGAAAGAGACAAATTAACTTATAATAATTCCTTTGTTTACTTAGGGTCAGCTAGCAGCGAACCAGATCAAATACTATTCACCGCTGATGTGAGAAGGCACAGTGAAGGGTGTGATCCAGTAGGCCAGCCTTTGTCTCACTGCAGTAGAAGAGTGTCTTTCGACATGGCAATCACTGAAGGGGAAATAGTTCGATGCAGATATAATAAGTGTGGCAAGGCCACTCCTTTGGCCGAAGCAAAAAGGACTTACAAAACTTGTCATAATTGCACGCATGTATATTGCTCGAGAGAATGCAGAAGAGCACATTGGGAAAAACACCGAAAGACTTGTCTTCATTCTCGTGTCGGAGCCCTTTGTAGAAAAGTTATGTCAAATATTAAAGAAGATGATGAGACTTTACAGCACATTTCGGTAATAGCAAGGCGTGGTTACTTGGCAAAAGGGCGAGGAGCTGTAAAAGTAATGTTTTCAAAACCGAGAAAGGCAGAGGACTTCATCGGTGAAGGGTATAACAGGTTGGGGGAGCCGACTTACATTAAGTGGCCTGACCTGCAGCCAGATGAGACCGGCAAAGAAATGCACGACGAACTGATCCGTCTCTGTAAAAGTTATAATCCTGATACACGTTTTGTACTTTATGTCGCGGTGTGTGTGGTGAGTGAGGTTCCTTCTTCGAGTGCAGCTGTGAAATGGGAGATGCAATTGGTGTCAAGGTGTGCAAAGTTAAAATTATGCGCCAGTCTTGGACAGATGAATGTTGCTGACATTTCAAAAGACGGGAAAGAGCCTGATACTCTCATTTTGACATCTCTTCCAGGTGCGAGAGACCAAGGTTCAAGGAAAGCACGCCAAATTAGCTTTACTAACATTCAAAGACATTTACGTCAAAGGGGAATTAGTTTAAGGCGACAGTTTCCAGAAGTGTATCAAAGGTTGTGTGCTTATGTTGAAGGAGCGACTGAGCGTTTTGTCCCGGTGACGATTTATCCACGAGATGCTATTTCGGGAAAAAACTTTATGTGTATCATCATGCCAGATGCTGATCCTGAAAAATTAGAATTGATTCCCACAGACAGTGCTCACGTACAAACAATAGATATCAGTACAGATCCAGACTCATCAGTGAATACAAATGATTAGCACAAACACCAAAAATAATTGCCAATTCTAGATGTGATCCTAGTTGTATTAAAAGAAAGGAAAAAAACAGATGGTCAGAAATTTTCAAGCACTTGATTCTAGACTTTTATATTCTAGTAAATTCATAAATTTAGATTATCTCAATTTCTAGCCATTTAATAGCATGTTCTGTACTTTTCTCAAATCATTTATAAATTTATATATGCATAATAATCTTTTTACTTTATACCAATACATATTACAGAACATACATATATAATGTATATATATACATAACATATATACATATATGTGTATATTATAAATATATGTAACATATATGAATATAATTATAAATTTTAAAGAGAAAGAGAGAAAATAAATTGTATATTATATAAAATCTATGAAAAGTTTTCTCTCAGGCCATACTTATTTATACCCTGTACATAATGTATATCACCTTTAAAATACTTTCAAACCATTCAAAAACAGTATCCTGAATGAAAAGGTGTAAGATTCTGTTTGTTTAAAAATATGCTTTTGAGCTAAAATATAAAAGCTAGCAAACAATACAATAATTATTTTTGCTACAAATATTTATTTATTTATTCCATTGTTGTAAATAGTCATTGTTTTATTTTTAGAAATACTAGTCGAGCTTAGAAAAATTCAACCCTCCTTAAGTATTTAGATTATGCCCACAAGATTTTCACCAGTTATTATGCTCCAAAAAATATTTGAATTTTTGTTTATTATCTTGTAACAATTTGTTATCGTTCCAGATTACTCTAATGCTTGATATATATGAAATAAATTGGTATATTGTAATGTTAAATCAAATAAATATTTTATTTCAAATGTAAATATATATTAATTTCAAAATGAAATTAATCTGCCTATCCAACTTGCCATTATAAATTGTTTTGAATCAAAGAAAATAAGTAATGAAAAAGTTAAAAAAAATTATTTTTTAGGACTTTTTTTAAAGATGTGTTTTTGAAATTAAAAATTCAATTCTTCGGTGTTTTGTGTATAAGAACTATTAATTTGGTATAGCCTGAATTTAAAAGGTTAAAATTTATAGTAAGTAAAGCAAATAGCAAATGTAAAAAGTCCAGAAATTAGCAGATTCACAAAAGCCAAAACTGGGCTATACGCCTCTTTTTGCCATTTTCAACCGTTGGTCATTTTTTATGTATATTATAAGATCTATTCATTTGGAATATGGTGAATAAACAGTTTATAACACAAGAAACGAATAACAAATATAAAAAGTTAAGAAAAAAGTAGATTTGAAAAAAGCCAAAACTGGGCTATTTGCCTCTTTTTGCCATTTTTTTCCGTTATCCATATTTTATGTGCATTACAAGATCTATTAATTTGAAATAGGCTGAAAAAAAAAAAAAAATAAAATAAAATAAAACGAGTAACAAATGTAAAAGGTTCTGAAATTAGCAGATCTGCAAAAGCCAAAACTGGGCTATTAGCCTCTTTGTGCAATTTTCCACCATTAACAATTTTTGATGTTTGCTGTGAGATCTATTCATTTGGAATAGGCTGAATAAACAATTTATAACAAAAGAAAACAGTTTATAACAATAAAAAAATGTAAAAAGTTTGGAAATGAGTAGATTTGTAAAAAGCCAAAACTGGGCTATATGCCTCATTTTGGCATTTTCTTTCATAATCCATATTTTATACATATTATAAGTGCTATTAATTTGAAATAGGCTGAATAAATAGTTTATAACAAAAGAAACGAATAACAAATGTAAAAGATTCTGAAAATAGCAGATCTGCAAAAGCCAAAACTGGGCTATTAGCCTCTTTGTGCCATTTTCCACCGTTAACAATTTTTTATGTATGCTCTAAGATCTATTCATTTGAAATAGGCTGAATAAACAGTTTATAACAAAAGAAATGAATAACAAAGTGACAAATCCTGAAAATATCAGAAAAGCTTGCAAAAGCTAAAACTGGCCTATACATACATCCATAAACCATTTTTTATGTATGAGATCTATTAATTTGAAATAAGCTGAATAAACAGTTTATAACAAAAGAAACACATAACAAATGTAAAAGGTTCTGAAATTAGCAGATCTGCTGCTGCAAAAGCTGGGATATTAAAAACTGGGCTATTAGCCTTTTTTTTCCATTTTCCTCTATTAGCCATTTTGGATATAAGATCTATTAATTTGGAATAGGAGGAATAAACAGTTTATAACGAAAGAAAAGCATTTTTTGGGTTGTCATTATATCGCATATGCCTTCTTTGCTTCTCCCATCATTAAATAGTTGAATTTATGTCAAATTGCATGGGTTGTGCATTTTGTCGCCAAAAAGCAGATAGCAATATATCTGCTGATGTCAAAATTAACATTTTTTTGTAGATCAGTTCTTATCATCCGATGGTAGTGGGTTTATCTAACACAAGTCAACTTCATGTGTATTAGCTCAGAAAAAATCTAAGATCTCAGCAAATTTGTTATCAATTGATTATATATTATTTTATTAAAATGAAAATAAAAACAAGTTGTGATTATATATATATTTTTTTTGTATTCACAAAATACAATTTGGCCAAAAACAAGTTTTTTTTAATTTACAACACAAACACACCACCTAATTCAGAAATCTAATTGTCATCTCCGATCATTTTTTCAGTCAATTCTTTGTTTTATCTTTTTTTTTACAATTTGCAATTAATAATTTACAATTAATCAAGTGTTATTTTCCATCCTCCAGTGAATGTGGTGACTTAACTGCAGACGAGCCTTTAATATGGGAAATAACTATCAGGATTTTAAGAGTAAATTATGTTGAACGTTGTGTTCCCTTACGTACAAATTGAACATTCATAAATATAAAATTTATTTCTACAAAACAGTTTAAACAGACTTGAAATATTATTTTTGGAACGGATAATAATCTAAATTTGTGTTGTATTTAAAGGATGGTCGTCTGGCTTCTTTCTTTTTCATTTCTTCGATCATTTCCTGAACCTCCAGTCTTGAAAAGTAAGATTTTACATTATATATTATATCAACATTATATATAAAATTATATCAATTAATTAATTACCGGTAAGGTGCTGGTTTTAATTCTTCCTCCAAACGGCATTCAAAATCGCTTGGCACAATTGATTTATATATCTTGCTTCTTATTATATCTACATCCCTTTCATACTCAATTTCCAACTGTTCGATTTTAGATGGTGGAGCAATAAAGGCCAGATTAAAGTAGCTGGAAAAGAAATGCACAAATAATTACTTTTGACAACTGTCTAATGATTTTCAACTAATACACAACTGTGCCTCCAGATGCACCATCCCATGCTTTGATGTTTTATAAGGTAACTTTTGCTGACCCAAGTTGTCTAACTTTTTAATAACACCTCCTTTTTCAAATATTGCCGAGGCTGTTCTCTTCAACACTTTTGTCATTTCCTCCTACAAAAGTACCAATGAGTAAGTGAACTTTTTCTTTATTTTATGTCATTTAAAAAAAAAAACTTTGGCATTTGATGAAGACGGACCATCGATGCAACTCTCAGCGTTTAGGATTATTAATTGATTGGTTTAGGGTTGTATTAGGAACTGTCTTTTTAGGCAGAGGATTGTTATGGTGGGTCGTTGAAGAGAGGGCTTGAACTAGTGGATTGGAAGTAGTGGAATTGTGTATGGATCATGTCATGTAGAATGAGATGTCTAGGTCTTTATGAATTTGGTTAGTGATGTAGAAGGGAGCATTGAGAATGCAGCGTAGAACTTTTGAATGAAAGGATTAAATTCTATGTTGGATGGCTCAGCTGAACCCCACAACTTGGCTCCATAAGTCCAAATCGGTCTAATTAGTTAGTGTTTTATGTATTGTTAATATATTGTGTACACTCATTGCAGATTTGGGTCCAAGTAGGTGCTGAGTTGTCCAAATGTTCGGTTGAGTTCTAGTCTTTTTTTTTGTTTTATGTGTGTTCCATGTAAGTTTACAGTTCAAGTAAAAGCTAAGGTAACAGATTTGGTTGGATGGAGAGATTTATCTTACCATATAAGACTGGTGGGCAGTTATTTCTTTTAATGTGAACATCACATGCTGGCTCTTTTGTTCATTGGTCTGTTGGCTAGGAGGTCATGGTTAGCTTTTTCTGCAAGGGCAGGGGCAGAATTGAAGGAGAGGATTGTGGTGTCGTTCATGAAGATTGTGATGTGGGGTTGGGGTCTAGGTATGTCAGCGGTGTAAACTGTGTGTAGAGATTGGCCCCTAGGATGGATACTAATACTCAACAAACTTAAATTTAAAAAATTATTTTTGAGTATTTTTTTATGCTGATGATATAGCAATAGCACCCAAGGCTTCCAGTATCTAAACTGCAATACACACTGCATGATAAAGTAGTTTAAATTAAACATAAGAAAATAAAAATAAGAAAAACAAGCATATTTCATTACTTTAAAAAATATAAAATTAAAGTTAACACCCAAAAGGAGAAGTGGATAAATTGTAAAGGTGCTAGAACAGTAAGCTTTGCTACCTAACCATCCCTAACAACTATCACCAAGACTAGCAAACTAAACTCATAACTAGTTAGAGAGGGTTAAACACAGAGGAGTGATATGCCTATTTATTGGTCACATCTCGAGCTTTTCTACCAATGTTTACTGATATGAAAACTTGACAATATCAAATGTAAAGAAATGAAGTTAACATTGATATTGTTAAAGTATTTAAGATACATAACAGGAAAAAATTATCAACACATTTAAAATCTTTAAAAGAACTATTTTAGACTTTATACAATCAGTCATTTTCAACACTTTGTAACTTCATGGACCAGAGCTTCCTATTGGCCATCACCATCCTTCAATATTCTGTCACCTCCAGACTATCATCTGCCCTTAGTTGGTCCCTCTTCCTTTTGCATTCCAATTTTTAGCATCAGCTTCTTCTCCAGGGTAGCATGTCTTCTCATTGTGTAGCCATAGCCTTTCAGCTTTGTCTTTTATATCATTCGATCAAGTGAGGAATCTGGTTTTATTTCCTGGAGTATGGACTGGTTTGACGGCTTGATTGGACAATAAATCATCTACCTTCTTCCTTAAGGTTCGGCTCATCTAAACATTTTTTACTACTAATAAAGTTTTAAACAAGAAACTTAATCAACTATCAGCATTGTTGGCAGAAGAATGTATAAAAGAAGATTTGTTTATTTGCTGATGGGAAATTAACAAATTTCAAGATAAGTGCCCAACAACAAATTTAAGTTGTACTGGAGGATGATCACCAGATGTGCAAGCCTTAATGAATTCAGAAAGGCAGCACTAGGAAAACATGATTGACACATGAATGGCAGCCTGAAGAAACTGTCAGACTTCTGCAGAGTGTTCCAATTTTCCAATGTTCCAATTTTTGATTGGAGAATTCAATTTTTATATGATCTGGGAGATTTATGGGCCAACAAACAGCTGAGGTCATCGCCGGCCCTCGGCGAACTTTCCTTCTTTTCTTGTCTTTCACACTTATTTTTGTTTGTTTTAAACTGCAGTTCTAGTTACTAACTCTCTGCTTTCGTATGTATACTACATCGATATCCTAAAATGCTCGGCTCTCATTTGTACCTTAGGTTGTCAACTACAGAATAGACACAAAACATATAATGCATAATGTACATCACCACACAACTCAAAGAAGTCTAGTCACATTCACTCCCCCAGAGTGCTAGATGTTCCTCCAGGCAGGGTTAAACAACTCCTTATTTTATGCTAACAAATTACATCCATTTCAATAAAACAACACCTGATACAAACATAAAAGTCGAATCGCATTCACTCCCCCAAAGTACTCGATATTCCTCGGAGCAGGGTTAAGCAACCCCCTTCCTTTCATGCTAATAAATTAAATTCACTCCAATAAATTAACATGAAATGACACCCAATACAAACTTAAAGTCTAGACACATACTCCCCCAGAGTACTTAATATTCCTCGGAGCAGGGTTAAACAACTTCTTTCTTTCAAGCTAATAAATTACTACATCCATTATATATAGTGGTCTGATTGACCAAATCTTTCAATTAATTATTCTTTGTATGTAAGGTCTTGGTCGAAATGAAAAAACTAGTGTCACGAATGGGATTAAAACCCACAAACCGAAATCGAAAGCCGAAGGTTGTGGGTTTGAATTTTGCTCATGTAACAAGTTTTATCAATTCAACCAAGACCTTACATACAAAGAATAACTAATAAATTACATTCATTCCAACAAATTAACATAAAATTCTGGTCATGTTCACCCCCCCCCCAGAGTACTCGATATTGCTCGGAGCAGTGTCGAACCAACACCATTCCATTAATCAATTATTTTTACTCTCCAGACATCATACACTATGCACAGGTCCGATACGAAAATATTTTCTATATACGTCAAACTTTCTACAATTGGAAAGGTGCTCGACTCCATTTTTAATTTATTGTTTTGATCCCACAGTACTTATTTGATACCTTCAAAGAATTGGTTTTATTTTATTTTAAATCCTTCATTTTGACATCTGATATTCTTTTTGCAGTTTTGATGTTGGGTTTACAATTTTGTTTCTAAATTTCATTTTTCATTTGATTTCTTGTTCAAAGTTTACCTAATACCTAAACTTCCAGCAGACCACTATGCCTTCTGTAAAGTTTATTTTAAACACACACCCAACAAACGACAAAATATTGTTTATTTCAATTTTTTTTTTGTATTTCTTCTTAATCAGATTATTAAAGTTACTTTAAACTTGTTAACGAATTGTTAAGCCTGTTATTTGTCTTAAATATTTAACCAACTAGTAATGTTAACTTCGTAAATTTATATCTGATAGTTGATAGTTGCTGATGAAGGTTGAAAATTGGCGGAAAACTCAAGGAAGAAAGTTAATTTATGTTGATATCTTCCACAAAAAAACAAATCAGCATCAGACCAAACACTATCTCTGAAGAATTATCATCGAAGGCTGATACATATGTTCATCCTGACTATAGCCAATTACATTTTAGACTACTAATTAAACATTTACCTTAGGTAGGAGCTTTAATAAAACGGAAAGCTCATACGTCAACATGTTTCACCTCATAAATTTACTATCATTCGTCCATATAACCTCCGGCTTTCCGGTTATCACGATTTCCAACAAATCACTGCTGGACTCTATTAAAATCACTTCTAGGTAAGTTCACTCTCTAATTTTGGCCGTTATCCAAACATGAGTGCTATTTAATTTTTATTACAATGTCATTCCATCAAATAGTTGTTGAAGTTGAGGTACAGAGGTATTTAAGAATTTATGTTCAATAAAAATATATGGATATATTTTCCCAATAAAATCTGCGAAGATGATAAAGCGCCAGATTTTGAGAATGTTAGATTCTTAATACTAAAACGAATAATACAATTTATGTTATAAAAAAAATATAAAAAACTTTATAATATAGTTTATGATAGAAATCAATCAAAATGTATATAGCTGATGTTTTTTTATATTATATTTTTCATTCAAAGAGAAATATATTTATAAAAATTTTAATTATTGTTAAGTTTAAAAAAAAATGTCTTAAATTCTTTGTAAGTGTGTAGTCGGAATGTTTATCGATTAAATCGAAACTGAAGTTCTGTGAGGCCGATTTGAGAGGCGTACAACCTCCCAGCATCGAGCTCATGTTTTTATTTTCTTTGTTGTATAAACAAATAGTTTTCCTTTTCCCTAAATGAATTTTCCGAGGGTACTATTGAGCGGAAACGAGACGTTTCGGAGCTCGGAGCGTGCCGAAATTGAAACTGTTCGTTAATTAAAATGTTTTACCCTTGAAAATTGTAAACACGACATATCCTCGGATTATGCTGATCTGAAGAGAAGGATGGAAGACCTGTTGATAAGCGAGGTGAGCAATTACCCGAGCCTGTACGACCAGAGCCTCGACACTTACAAAGATAGCGAATTGAAGAACAAGATTTGGGGCCAGATCACTGCTCACATACTCGGAGGATCAGATGCTGACTCTGGTAAGTGATTTTCCTTATTATATCACTTTGTACAGAGGAAACGATTCATTTCTCCATAAATAAATTCTTCTTATTAAACTGCTAAAAAATGAATAGGGATATTTGTAATTTATTCTGATTCTATTGATTTTAATTAAATAAATCATTGAGGTCACCGGCAAATGGATGTCGCAGATGCAGTTGGCGTTTATCATAGCGTGGTCTGCCGGATTCTGAGAGAAGTGCCAATAGGAGGCCTGGTAGTGGCATTACGACACTAAGGGAAAAGAATTATTATCAATGCTGCAAGATGGAACGCTTTCTATAGTGCCTGCCAGATCCTAAATGAAGTACAAGATGTTTTGGTAAGGCCTCACATCATATGCCTCTTTGAAATACGACCTACAACAGCCTGCCACCAGCAACTCAGTAGAATATGGTTCAGCAAGCACGTAGAGAGAGCACCAATTGGAATGCTGTTTGTTTACTGATGAGTCGGGTTTCTGTCTATTTAGTGATAGCAGGCGTTGAAGAGTCTTCCAAGAACAAAGTATGCATACAATGCCTAAGTTCGTTCTCCTTTCAGTGCAGTTTGGAGGAGGTGGTGTAATGGTCTGGGCTGGAAGACGAACTGGACTCCATATTATTGAAGGCAACCCCACCGCAGTCTTTATGTCTAAGAAATTATCAAGGAATACATCTCTCAAACCAGGGAAATAATTGGCAGGGATTTTCGATTTCAGGATGACAATGCCAGACCTGATAGAGGCAGAGTTGTTCACTACTGTTTAGTCAACCTGGGAATTTACCATCTGCCCTTTCCACATAGTCTCCAGACCTCAATCCCATTGAGCACATGTAGAATGGGTTGCAGAAAAGGCTTTTCCAACAACTGATTGCAACGTTGCAGCATCTATGGAGTGAAATTCTTGTGAAATTAGTGACACCCTTATTAACAGTATGCCTAACAGGGGCACAGAGATTTTAGCTAACGGAGGACATTATACACAGTATTAATGGTTTTAAAAAAGTATTGTGTCTAATGAAAAAAATTATGGAATTAAAACCTTTTATTTTGTTATTTTTCTAAATGTCTTAATTAAATTTTCCTTCAGTAAAAAACTTAATTATTTCTAATAAATTTTAGTGTAATTTATAATAAAAATAAAATAAAAATGCTAGGGAAATTAAATACATACTACAAAATCGGCAATAGCCTTATTCAATTTTCAGCAGTTTATTAACAGTTTAGAGAATATTTTCCTCAAACTTTTTTTGTAAAAAAAAAAATTCTGTGTATGTTAGATAAACATTAATAGTTAATTAATTATGCTTATTTTTTCTATATTTCAGTTGAGAAAGTGAAGACACGATGGAAAAGTCTTAGAGATAGTTTTCTGAGGAATTTGAAAAAAGCCGGAGTCCAAGGGAACAAAAAGATCAAACCGTGGAAATATTCAGATCAGATGCAGTTTCTCCTTCCATATATCGGGAGCAAGGGTACAGCATCGGTGAAAGAAGAGCTTGGTTACGATGATTCTGCAGGAACCATGAATGGTGACACGTCGCAAGATTTTGCCGAAATGTTGGTCGAATCGGACCATGTGCAAAACGGTATCGACGAAAGATTGCACAAAAAAAGGGTATCTGTGAATGAAAGGACTGTGAAACGTTTAAAGAACCATGTCACAGGTTCGAATTACATGAAACCCTTTCTCAGTTGCCAGAACGACCCGATTGATTCTTTCTTTCTTGGTATCGCCCAGACTGTCAAGAAGCTTTCACCTTTCAACCAGGCCTTTATTAAGAAAGCGATAGCGAATCTCGTCATCGATACTGAAATTAATGAACTGGAAGATTCGAATGGTTGGCAGCAGAGGAGTCCGCCTGGGGAGTACCCGCAGAGTATTTATGAGCCAACTGTTGAAATGAAAGTGCCCACAGAGAAAATTGTACATTCCTCTTCCTCGACATCCCTTTCGTCATATTCAATGGAATCGGATACATAATTCAATCAATCAACTATTAAATTTCAAAAATGAAAAATTTAAATTTAAAAATTAAATTGTATATATTCATTGTACAATCATTTTATTATTAATTTTTTATGTAAACTTTTTTTAATCTTAGGAATAAAATTAGGAATCTCGAATTGAATAAATTAAATATGTTATATGTTTATAAAAGAATTAATGTTAAGCATCCTTTCAGTCTGTCCCCGAGGTGATCTATTATATTGATTCTATTTCTAAATACTCATTTTTAAAATTAATGTTATTTTTAATGGTTTAAATAAGTTTTGTTTGATTGTTTTAATGCTGAATTAGGTTATCAATATGATGGCTGTTGATATAGTTAAACCGAATCTGTTGATATATCTCAGATAAAAATTTGAAGGACAAAAATCAGTATTAGAACTAAAAACTTAATTAAAATTGTGATATTTGTAATTAATTTAAGAGTACACTCTTTTTCTCTAGAATTGATTTATTAAAAACTTTTCCCTGCCAAATAATTTTTTAGTAAAGAGACGTCCGTTTGATTAATTAATTTGTGAAATTGGTTATGCCATTGCAAAGTGAAGTTTTTATTTACAGATGGCAGTGTGGTTGATCAAAATTAAATTAACGTTATTGTTACTGTTTTTTATTGTCAAAAAACTCTACTTTACAATGAGCTCATAATGAAGGAATGTTTCTGACCATGGAAATGTAAATAAATATATACAATTTTATAAATATAAAGTGTTAATAATAATTTTAAAGTTAATTAAATTAATAGAAATTTGAACCTTACAAAGCTGATATTAAATGTGAGGAAACTCATTCTTATTCTCTTCAAAAATTTTGTTTGTTAAAAGTATTGTATGCCATAAAAATGAAAATGAAAAATAATTTCTCTTTATGGAAAGTCAACTATTTTTATAACTTTTTGTAATATTTAAATGTTCATGTGATGTTTTACTGATGTGACTTTTTATTTTTATTTTGCACCAATAATCTAAAAATCTTTCTAAGTAGAAGTTGCTCTCAAGTTTTATAGAAGAGACTATTCTGTTAGTCTTTAAGGTATTGTTGTTGTTGGTTTAATTTGTATTCTCCATAAAACACATCAACACTATAAACACTAAATATCATTTTTCAACGTAGAGTGTGAAATATTTTTAATTTAGTACTTTTTTCAGACCTGACATTACACAACATGTGTTAAGAACATGTTGATACTATAGTGTAACAAACTGAATTAATTAGATAATCGATGTTTATAATAGTTATTATTTAGTTTTATTCATCTTCATCAGTGAATAGGTTTTGTAATGATGATGCTTAAAATTTGTTTAATTTTAATATTGTCTTGTGTTCTGTTAATGAACAATTATATATTTCAAATCAATAAAGTTTTGACTTTTATTATATTTATTTATTATTATATCTTATTTATTTATTTATTTTATCCAGCAGGATTAAATAGTAAGGATGTTAAAATAGTTGATTTTGTTTTGCAGAAAAATGTCAAAGCAAGTAAGGCTACATTCGAGCATCCATCACCCTTTGTTGAGAGCCTGGACTACAGGCAACATTGCAGTTTCAGCTGAAGAACTTATGTTGCCTTTATTTATTGTGTAAGAATTAAATATCAGTTTCATCTTTGAAAATATACATTTTTGTGCTTTTCTAGGGAGGATAACGATGCAAAAGAAGAGATTACTACAATGCCTGGTGTCTATCGTTATGGGGTGAACACAGTTTTAAAAGAATTAGAACCACTTGTTAAGTTGGGTCTAAAATCGGTACTTCTTTTTGGGGTTATTAGCAAACTCACAAAAGATGAATATGGGACTCATGCAGATTCCCCTGAAAACCCTGTGATACGATTGGTGCCTATGATCTGTGAAAAATTTCCAAATTTGGTCATTGCATGTGATGTAAGTCGCCAAAATAAATTAGCAATTTGGGTATTTACTTTTTTTTTGTTTTTTAAAGGTATGTCTGTGCCCATACACATCTCATGGTCACTGTGGGATACTGAAGGAAAATGGAAAAATCAATAACGATAAAAGTATTAAGAGAATAAGTGAAATAGCTTTGGCGTATGCTCAAGCAGGTGATACCAAATATACACTTCTTATGTATGTACCATTTCCAATCAGAAGTTAGTGATTCAGAACACTTCAGATAAAATTTATTATAATTATTGTTTGGTCAAGCAAGGTGGATAGTCGGCAATTAAACTATTGTTTAACCCTAGCTCAGGCTGAAATATATCTAATGGATATGGAATTTTAGTACTGAAGGCCTGGTTGTTGAAAAACATTTTCAACTTAATTTTGTTTGGAAATATAATATACTATACACAATTATATAGTATACATAGTTGGAAAAATTTGTATGAAATAAAAAAAATACTTACAAATTATTTTGCAGTGTGGTTGATTGCCTATTAGCTGATTAATATTTTCTGTTAAACTGAATAATTTGTAGATTGAATATGATTTTCCAACCGAATGTTCATATTATAACTGAATTTAATTTAAAGATGTTAAATTAAATTTAAAACAAAATTCCTATTTTGTTCCTATATACATATATATATGTATAAGAGCCTTGTATATGTATAAGAGTCATGTATTTTAACAAATTTATGATTAAGTTAATCCAGTTAAAAATGTATATATCTTGTAGGGTGTCATATCGTTGCACCTTCAGATATGATGGATGGAAGGATTGGTGCTATAAAACAATCATTAGAAGCAGCATCACTTCATGATAAAACAATTCTGTCATACGCGGCCAAGTTCTCTTCCTCATTTTATGGCCCATTCAGGGAGGCGGCGAAATCTGCACCTTCTTTTGGGGACAGGAAATGTTACCAACTCCCTCCAGGAAGTTCTGGCTTAGCACATCGAGCTGTGGTATGTTACTTTTTATTTTCAAAAAAGCCCCTTAAAAAAAAAAAAAAATCAAGATCAACACTATTTAAAACATAATAATTACAAATATTTTTATTTTATTTATGACTATCTTAAGAACTTACCTTCAAGAATACTCCTAAAAATGATATTGCACAAGTCGTAGGTTCAAATCCCGCTCGTGACAACTGACTTTTTTATCTCAACTAAAAACCTTAATTAATTGAATGATATTAATTGGTCAAGCGGACCACGAAAACTAGTGAATTTAATAATCATTACATCATCTTATTTAAATAAAATCTTATTACCATATTTTATTTTTATTATGGAACAAATATAGTAAATGTCCAATGAAAATAGTAACTTAGTATTTTATTGCTTGTAGTAAAGTATGTTTACTGATTTTTTTTAGTCAAGGGATGTAAGCGAAGGCGCTGATTTCCTGATGGTCAAACCAGGCTTAGCATACCTTGATATACTTTCACAGGTTAAAAAAGAATTTCCCAATTATCCTTTATTTGTTTACCAGGTAATTTAAAAATTAATTTTGACTGTTGAGGAAGATAAAATGTTAACCAAATGAAATGTCTAAAGGTATCTGGTGAATATGCTATGCTTTATTTTGCTGCTAACAGTAATGCGATTAATTTGAGAACTGCAGTCGAAGAAAGTCTTATTAGTTTTAAACGAGCAGGTAATCTGTTAACATGATGTATGATCAGTCGGTATTGATAATTGTCCTAAAATATTATTTGCTTTAGGGGCTGATTGTGTAATAACGTATTTTACTCCACTACTTCTTCAATGGATGGCGGTTGATCGTAAAAATTGACTTTAATGACCACCAGTATGGGAGAGTATTGTTTACAAAATGAATCTGTCTGATCTGATTTTTTTATTTATTTAAACAATATTTTAGCAGTGTTATTTTGAAAGAATCTTGAATTATTTTGTTATTTTTATCACTAATTTAATAAAATGAATGTTTTTGTACCATGCAATATAATTTTATAAACAATTTGGGTAAGGAATTGTATGCTTATTTATGTATAAGCTCAAATAGTTTAAAAAAGTAAACCATAATAAATTAAGTACTTCGTGACTTGTGTGATTCTTTTTGATGTATAATTTCAAATTAATTGTTAATTTATAGGGGGCAATGAATTGTTTTTTTGTGTTTTTATGGTTGGGTTGAAAGTATACAAACAAAATAAACCAGTCATCACCAGCTCTTTTATTCTTTGCTGTTCTTTTCTTTTCGTTCAGACATTTTATTCCTAACAATTGTTTTTCTGATACTGCAACTAAGTTATATTCATGTCAATTTAGCCCTGGCTGTAAAATTAACTGACTCTCAAATTTCGCTATCCTCTCTTCCTGGCCTTAACAGTCAAGGATAAAAATATACTTACAGTAGAATAGAAAATAGAATTACGAGACCCCCCTAGGAGGCCTCTGGCCTCTCCCTGATGGATCAGGGGGAGTCACCCACCTTGGTGCCTGAGCGACTCCGAGGTTGGGCTCTAGTCAGGCGCCATCGACTCGGGTCGGCGCCCTTAATGTTCCCTAAAACTAGTCATTCTCACACTCACTCGTACAATAAATACATACATTCTATATGCAAACCCAATCACACATGCATATCCTCTATCAAGAATCTGGGTTGGAGGGTACGCAATATTACACCCCGAACCAGCTTACCGGAGCAGCGGTGGAGCCTTGAAATTATATGCTGCACCGCCGCCTAGCATACTCCTATTCTAACATAAACTAAATCTAAATTTTAACCTATGAAATAAATATCCCACTATATACAACCCATTATCCCAATATCTATTAAAAACCTAAAAGGTTTTTCTTTAAACTCGCTGCCATGCTCGAGCATTCTCCTATAACGGCGGTTTTCCATTTCGGTCCCTATCCGGGGCCAAGCTGCGACACACCGTGAGTCTGTCCTCTTGGCATGCTGGGCACCTAGGTCGACTCTATACTTCGAATACACAATAAAAATATATACATTTAAAAACAAATTGCTCTACCTGGGCTGCGGTTCTCTTTCCCGAGACCATTTAATTAAACAAGTTAAACTATGAGCAAACTTCATGTATAGGATTTTGTAGCACACAAATGAATATTTAGTGTTTGTTTAATTTAATTTCAATTTGTTTTCCTTATTATTGTTCTTATTTTATTTATTCACATTTTTAATTTATGGTTTTATAAATTTTTCTTTAAGTTCTTTGGAAGTCTTTTTTCAATTAACATTTTATATTATTCTGCACTTTTGTTGTCTTGTTTATGTTTTCATTTACCTCTGGCAGACGGAATTTTCCATGTTGTACTTATTTAGTAGCTGCAATTTAATTGTACATTATTGGATTATAACAAATTTTATTGTTATTATTATTAGTAATATGTTTTTTTTAACAAGGATATTTCAACTACAGGGTTACATGAACCCCCCCCCCCTTTTTTTAAAAGCCCATTTGTAAGGGATTTGTTGGGTTCGAGTGCAGGGACACTGGATTCAAACTTGGCCTTACAGCAATGAGTGCTGTGTCAACGCCTAAACTGTTGCAGCCACTACCTATAAATAATGCCCTCTATTATTAGTATTACTTTCATTTTAAAATAAATTAGTCTAGTTAGCATTCATACTACCTATTGGTACACAGATAGTTGTAGAACAGAAGAAGGTAGAGGTGTAGGAGTATTCAGTCCTGGAACCAAATACTCGGAACCTGGGAAAAAACAACCAGCATCTTCCAAGCTGAGGTTTGTGCAATTGAGAGATATACTCAATTCAACTTGAATAAAGGGAACAAAAACAAGAACAGCTATGATGTCAGATAGCCAAGCAGCCATCAAAGCACTAAGCTCAAACATCATTAGGTCAAAGATGGTGTTGATCTGCGAAACCAAATGAATCATATTAGATAGGCAGAACAAAGCCTCTGCTGGGTCCCAGGACATATGGGAGTAGAAGGCAACGAGAAAGTGGACACCCTTGCAAGAAAAGGGGCTGCTATACCGCTGAAAGGCCCGAACTCTTCTGTGGCATAGGAACCCACTCTATCAATGAGCATCTCAGACAGAAGGATAAAAAGAAAATGAGGGAACAATGGAACTCACTCATTGGAAACGAACATTCCAAGAACCTCCCAACAAATTTTACAAGGAAAGAAGTAATGGAATGTTTCAAGGATAGCAAAAAAAAACTGTGAATCCTAACATTCTAGATTCTTAATAAGACATTGCAAACTAAACGGACATTTAAAAAACCCTGAATTTGAAGAGCTTTTTTGTATTAGCACTGGTAATATGCTCCTTAAATTCCAACTTCTATCAAACAAGATTTAAATAGAATAATTATAATAATAAATAAAATAAAGTTTGATACCAGAAACTAAGTTTATCAATAGATTGCTGCAAGGGAAGAGAGCCACGTTTCATTTTAGAGAGAAGAAAATTTTATGATAATCAGCATATAATAAAAATGATGTAGCAGAAAGACAGGACTTAAGGTCATAGTTTAATTTTAACTATGAGTGTGTATTAGAAAACTGACTTTTTTTTTCTTTTTGATTTATGTAAAATGCTGAATTATTGCAAATAAATTAAAAAAATAAGTATCTCAACAACCCCCTCAGACGGTCTATTGCTCATGAGTAAATTTTGCAATGATTTGTGTTGTTTTGTTTTATTGAAACAATAAAGATTGATGGATTTTTTGGATTTGGATTTATATAGGCTCAAATCTGAACGTGTAAGTACATATATGCAGAGTTGAGCCTATTGGCTTCTCGCAGTCCACCGGCAAATTTGGCTTTTTGCTGCAAATTGCTGGCAGAGTCGAGAATCACCCATTCCGGGAGTTGGCAGTCTGGGGGCACTGGGGCAGTCCTCAGTCTTATCTGTCCAGACACTAAGGTTGGGTTTGGGTCATCAGCTAGGTCAATTCAGTACCCAACTTATCAGTTACAAATCCATTCATACTCACATTCATTCTTTACATTCCCTCCCAATTCAATTAGGGTGACGGAGTTCTCGATATTCCTCCATCACCTTTACACAAATTATACAACTAACCTAATTGAGGATCAATGGGTGTACTCAATATTCCGCTATCAGCCATCTCACATCATACATTCACGCTAATAAAACATTCACTCCCAACACCAAGCTAGGTATGCACAGCTATATACAATGGAACAACTCCATTTCCTTCAAGAATCGTAACAGAGGACCCAAACACTTGCAGCCGTGTACAAGTACAATTCTTAAAGTGGGTGGCATTCCTGCGCCTTCTCAGTATGGATCCAAGGAATTGCACCCTTCAATTAGGTGGGACACATCATGCAACATTTCTCTGCTGGACACATGGTCTCAAAAGTAAGTGTCTGAGTCAACCTTGCCTGGCCATCTCAACCATGACTTTAGATAAAAAGTATAATTAATTTAAATTCGATATTCCTCAATCACCCTTTTCACATATTATACAGGTCGATGGAGTACTTGATATTCTGCCATCGAACCTCTCACATTACACCTTCACGCCAATAAATACATTCACTCTCAACACAAACTAGGTATACACAATACTACTTCCTCAAAAATCGGAACGGGGAATAACGTTTATTATTATTATTATTATTATTATTATTATTATTATTATTAGAAGGAATAATAGGAGTAAAAAGGGTGTTCAGTCAAATTCTTTGCAAGAAGTCAGTTGCTCAAACTATCCTTTATGTATCGACCTTTGGGTAGTGACGTTATCGCCTTTTCCAACAGATTTTATTTCGAATATTCACATTCTTTTAACAATTTTTCTTTAAGTCTTTCGACTTTACATTAAAGTTAAACGAAAACGGTAGAAAATAGCCTTCCATACCAAATCCTATGGACATGGCACCTGCTGACCTGAACAATGTTTTGCGACATTCAAGTTTCAATAGAAATGGCAAATGAAATACAGCGTTTTGAGAGAAAAAGTTTAAAAAAAGTAAATAAATAGAAAAAGAAAATAAAGTGGGCTGACTTGGATGGGGTAAATTTTAATGGACATTGGCCGGCTTTGCTCGTGGCACCCTTGCTCTGTAGCATTGCTCACAGTGGAAACTTTAAACTTGTTTGAGAACATCTGTTTTCCGTTGTGTACATGTTTTTTTTCCTCTGTACTTCAACACGACGTGCGCAGAGATCCTTGTCTGCACAGGTTGCTTTTCCTCCGATAAACACTGTATAAATATAAAAGTCTAAAAGTCCTAAGTCTCTTTCTGTTCACTTGTGTTTCCACCCCCCCTCGTCCATGGATTTAGACTTTCTTCTCATCCAAACTGGCAATTTTTGAAAATGAGAGATGGATGTGAGTATTTCGCTCGTTGAACCTTATCGAAATGTCTAATACGTTTTTTTTTTATTTTTACCAGATAAACCCGGAAATGTCTACTTCGAGTGGAAACGTCCTGGAAGACGAAGAGCTCACCTTGCCCAGGGCGTCGATAAACAAGATGATCAAAGAGATCGTGCCGTCGCTTAGGGTTGCGTTCGAGTCGAGAGAGCTCATCCTCAACTGCTGCACCGAGTTCATCCACCTCATCGCCTCAGAGGCCAATGAAATTTGCAACCAGAGCAAAAAAAAGACTATCAATGCAAAGCATGTCCTACTCGGTATGAATTTTAACGTATTTTATTAGTTTCCAGTAATTAGATGCATTTGACCATCCAGGTGTTTGCACACTGGTATAAATGCACCAGTTATTTCGGAATCAGTTATTTCGGAAACCACATTGTCAGTTAATTGAATTGTTTAGTTTTGAAAAGGTTTTGATGACAAGTGGTTCCATTTCTGTAGAAGCCCTTTACAGTTGAAACAGCATATCTAAAGTATTCTTGTTAGCTAAAGAAATCACATTTTTTTCTGATGGCTGCCCAGGACAAAATCGCATTCACATAGTACTGCAATTTTTACTTGCACTTTCACATAAAGCACACACATTGGACATAAAGCAGTATTTCCCTGTGAGGGGTCACAGTTTCCTCCCTTGTAATAGGGTGTTTGGTGTGAATAAAAGAAAATTAAAAAGAATCAATCGTGTACATTCCAAAGCAGAATACAGATCTGATCAGCACAAGTTTGAACTGAAACTGAATTCTACTGGAGGATAATGAGATCATGGTAATCTTCAATAGCTGGTAGTCAAAGCTTTACAAGAAACAAATTGTCCCTGTTGGGGAATTGGCATTGCAAAGAAGAAATAATATGGAGAAAATAAGTTGCAGAATATTGGATTATTATTACTTTGAGATGAGGAAAGGTGTATTGAAGGCATATACTACTAAATACGGATATGCATCTGCCACTTTTTGTGAATAGGCACCATTTCACAAAAAAAAAAAAAAAATTGAAAATTGATATTTTTCGTTTTTTAATATTTTTATTTTGCTGTTTACTTGCTCAAATCAACTATGTGAATATATCATTTTACAGCATTTTTATGTAGATTGTGATGCAAATATAGTAAAAGCTTTATTGCTAGTGCACTGCAATGCTAAAATGATAAGTTTCATTGAAATGTTAAATCAAAATTTATTGAAAAAGGAAACAAAATAATCTTTTTTTTTTCTGAAAATAACACATACATTGGAAATACCATGGAATAGAGTAGTTGTAATTGTGTAAGTGTACTTTAAATCTTAGGTGCTTAATAAAATTCATTTGCACAAATTTTAAGGATAAATCATTCTAAGAGATAGGGATTAAGGAAATTCAATGCATATGCTTTCTCTATGGCAATCATAGTCTGCTTGCGTCCAGGAAATTGTCATGAATGGATTTCATTGCCCAACCCCCATTATTGGAATAAAAAACGTCTAATACCGGATTTGGATACAGTCATGTGCTGTGAAGCTTTTCAAGGCCTTGACGGTCTGACGAGTGGACAGCCAGGTTGGTATGTCATGGATTTGAACCAGACTTTTTTTCGGTGATTCTACACTACAAAATATTGGACACATATCCACTACTTCTTATGGAATAGGCCCTGGTTTCGCCAAAAATTTTTTTGAAAGTTGAATTTTTCTATTTTTAATATTTTATTTTGCCATTCTACTTGGCATACATTCTCAACTATGTGAATATATCATTTTATATATTCAACTTCAAAATAGAAAAATTCAACTTTCAAAAAAATTTGAATAAAATATAAAATAATAAAANTATATTATATAGATTGCAATAAAAATATAGTAAAAGCTATCAGTTTTATCAATAACCAAAACATTTCTTAAAGTATTTTCAAGTATACTAGGTCATACATTTTTTCATATAACTGTCAGATTAAACCCCATTTGGATGCTTATTAAATTGTGACTACAGCTACTTAATTGGTAATTAATTGTTAAAATTTCTGTATTTAAGTAATTAAAAATGCTTTACGAAGGTGAAATAATGATAAATGTTATGTATTGCTATCAGTAAATTTTCAAAATCAGTAGGGTAACATTCTTGAAAAAATTTTATACTGTCGCTAATGATTTGTGAAAGTTCATGTCCAACATTATTTATTATCTATTACGTTTTTATATAGCTCACTATACCAAAACTAAAGTTTCTTTTTCTTATATAAATTGGCATTTACCATAGCTGTGCCACTTACTACTTGAATCAGTTAATTCAGAAACCCCATAAGTCATTCTTTTTTTGAAAATTGACTGTTTTGCTCAAATTGATGCTTTAGAGGTAGAAGCACAAGTTTGAGGCATAAACCCTTCAAGTCATAAGTATTGCCTAAACCACTTGCCGATAATTCCCTTTGCTGCAAAAACCCTATAAGTCATTAACACAAAACACTACAAGAATTGGTGGCTGTAACATTATAAAAAGTTAATGAACTCTGAAGAAACTAATGGAAGAGCAACACTAAGGGATAAGAAAGTTGTGTTCAAAGTTTATAGGTTTTGCCAAATGATCTATGATATGAAGAATCTGAGATTAGTTATTGCAAAATGCTTCATTGATTGACCATCAATTCATACGTTCTGAGTAAAAAACACTAACAAATTATCCGATCAAACTTCCTACTTCACTGGCCTATACAAGCAGGCAGCTGGCATAAAGAAAAAGAAACTTGATGACAGCTGGATTCTGCTACCAGAATAATAATGAATTGGCCAACAACTTAAGTCTAATCATGAAGATTTCTTTTATTTAATAATTTTTAATACCTTTTGACGATGGTTTTATTTTGTTCCTAAAGGAGAAATAAATAATTTATTTGTTTTAAATTATCCCACTTGGATTGGTAAAGAAGGAGTGGCCACCTCATTCCCCCAATCATATGGTCATGGATTTCTATGTTTGGGGATTTCTTAAGAAGGTATACAGTTCAGTAGTGAATCCAAAACGGTGGTAGCCCTGATGTTAGATATTTGTTATTCTCAATACGGTAGAAATTTACAAAAAATCAAAACTCGTCAGGGTCAGAAAGTACGTGTAGGGATTATACATTGAAAGTTGTTTCAAATAGAGTTCATCCATCACTCAAAAAAAAACAATTTTGCCCTTTTGCTGGGACACCCTGTATTTGTCGACTGATAACTAAATTAAAAATTAAATAGTTTATTAACATGCTCAATGAAGCCTGGTTATTCAATTTCTCCCTCCTGGACATCAAACAATGCCTATTCTTAGAAACGTTATGCGTCATGACTGCATACAGGTCATCTTTTCGGGAGCAGGTTGGGCCTTTATGCAGGACACTAGCACTGATTGTGTTAATTAACCAAAACACAACATAAATTAAATGTTAATGTCTGCGGTCTAGTTGAGAAAAAAAAACTAGATGTCAATCTCAAATTTCAAGGTAGGTATATCAGAATGACCAGACATGGCGGTAGAGTGTAGTTTAGTATGTTACAAACAACCGGGTCCAAAATTAATAGACTGAATGAATATCAATTTTTAAAGGGCACGACTTTGTTATAATTCTGGGGGCACTGAAGATGGCAAAATGCGTCTGAGCGAGGATAGGCAGTTCAATGATCAGTAACAACCAAATTAGGGTTCATCACTCTGCAATGCAGACCACATTGAGTATTACAAAACCTGCTTGGAATAACAAAACAAACAATATTAGTGGCAATTTTTGTGTGCTTTTTGTATAAACAATAACTTAGCTGCCCCTGAATTGCATAATTATTTTCTTCTCATGTCCAGCACAATTGATGTATTCTTATTAAAAATATAATAATTTTCTCTCAGTTGCTCTGAACATTCTTACTTGCAATCATACTAGCCATGTCATATTAAAAGTACTAAACTACACTCCAAACAATTAAAGTAAGTTCTTTCATTAGTGTGTTCTCCTTAGCTCTACATTCCATAATAATGATAATTTGACATAAATTCTTTGTCTTCCTGACTGTAAACATTATTGAAAAATATGCTTAAGTTGCATGAGAAATCTTGCTCTTTGTGGTTATTGTATTATGTTGTTCTTGGAATATATTTTGTTACTTTAAATCAAATTGGCTTACACATACAAATTGGCTTTGTTTCAGCCCTTGACAGATTGGGGTTTGATGATTATCGGGTTGTGGCTGAGGACGTACTCAAGGATTGTAAGGAGGTAGCGGCTAAGAAGAGGAGACAGAGCACCAGGCTCGAAAACCTCGGAATACCCGAGGAAGAGTTGCTGCGTCAGCAACAGGAGCTGTTTGCAAAGGTTTTTATTTTATTTTTATATTTTAATAATGATAATTTAAAAAACATTGTTTGTAGGCTAGAGAGGAGCAGGCCCAAGCAGAGCAACAACAATGGCTGCAACTTCAAGAAGCGACCAAAATAGTGAATATGCAAAAGACTGCTGATGAAAGCGATCCCGATGATTATTCTTAATTTCACCATTAAAATGTTTGTGTGATGTAAATAAGGATGCTGAGATTTTTATCAATTAAAAAAAAAAAAAAAAAAATAGGAGTAAATTATTTATTCTCTCATTTTTGTTTCAAACTGAACCTTCATTATGGACATTTTTTTCTTTCAACAAACTGGTTTATTAAAATATCCATTGTAAATAATAAATGACATTGAAGATATCTTTTTAATAGCTTTTCATTTTTGAGCTATGTATGTTCAATGTTATCAATTTTGATATATTATTTTTAGATTGGTATTTTATCGTTTGAAAAAACTTATCCACATAAATTTTTTTTATGACTGAAAACAAACATTTTGTATTACACCTATATTTAATTGTAATTTTTAAGATGGCAATTGAATAAATTTATATCCTGAAAAATACAATAATTTCAATTCTACAATCATTTTCTCTTTTCAATTCCATCCCTACATAGAACAAACATTATGGTCCAAGTTATAAATAATTAGATAACCTTGGAAGACTATAATTTACTTGGTTTCATTTTATTGAATTTAATGTATGACTGATGGTTTAACAGTTGGACACAATGCATTAAATGAGTAGATATTAGGATTCATTTGAAAATAAGGTTTATTTAAAATCACATTGCATTATCTCTGTTATTTTTTATTTTACCATTAAATTTTTAAAATTATGTAAGATACGTTGTGCACCTAACCTCTAAATTGTAAAGTGAGCTGAAGAAGAGAAGAATATTGAACGATTGAAACTAATGAAAAACAAGTGAAAATTTTAACTACTGGTACAAGAAAATTTCTGTACCATTTAACCATTCTAACATAGCTTTGTGGTATGTAAAGAACATAACGTTTCATTTTTGGAACAACGGTTCCATTAACATTCATATATCATTCTTTACAAGCAGACAGTATGGAACCAAGATTCGGCTGCTGGGGCAATTATAAAATATTATTACTAACATGCTCACTAACTTGACTGCCAGCAGAGAGAGTTGATTTACCATTTGTAAATCCCCCCTGGGAAAAGAAAAAATTAAATTCAAATGAGAATATAAGATGAGGTACATATAAAAAAGAGATGTGATATAAATAACATTTACCCTCTGAAGGCAACAATCCTAGCCTTAAAACAGCAACTATGAAACAGCTAACTCTACACACTGTTCAACACTCGCGAAACAACTTAACGCACAGTTTAAAAAGCACTTTGTGAAAATTAAAAATAAAATAAAATGTAAAATATACTAAACACGCTTTGAAAAAGAAAGCAGAACTGTATACA